AATTATTATATTGATCATTCACATGTCCGATCTTTTGATCTAGTCATTCTAGTAATATAATTTTTTGGGTTATCTATTGTTATCCTTTGGATTTTCATTTCATTTAATCTAGTCAAGAGAGATTCTTAACATTAATCATTCATTTATTTATTTTAGTTTTATTGATTAATTTATTGTACGGTCTATCCTACAAATTATTTTTTTTTTTCAAAAGCTCTTATGAAAGCTATATGATGTACGAAATCCGATCACGCAATCAGCTCGTGTTGTACATCGGGTGATGCTAATGCTGACGGTCCTACCAATTACAGTTATAAAAAAACTATATCGACTGTAACACTCGGTTCTTTGCTGAATGGGATCGAAGTGCAAGGTAATGAAGATGTGGTTAGGGAATCGTGGGGTTTGTAGGGTCATGGCGGTTTTGGGGTTTGAGTACATAGGTTTTTATAATATCTTCAACCACGTTAACGTTTAACTGTACAGAATGATTTATTAGTTATGGGGTTATGAAGTTATGGGTTTATAGGGTTATGGGAATTTTTGGGTTTGAGTATTTGGGTTTTCAAGGAGTCCTCAGCTATGTGATGTTTTGCAATAATATAGATTGCGTATGATTTATTCCCTTGGTTATGGGGTTACGGGGTTATAGGGTTATTTGGATTTGGGTTCATGGGCTTATTAGTTTGAAATATAATTGGGTTAAATGTTTATGGGATTTGGTTAATTGGATTTAGCGTTTTAGTCTTAAGGTTATGTGGTTTAATTGTTCAGAATATAGTTTTTTTTGAGGTAATGAAAAATACAGAGGTGTTGGTGTTAAATGGGACTCGGATTCAGCGACCCAAAAAACGTATAATAAACATGGTCTGACATCTGGGCCCTCGTTTTTTGTGTGGCTGTGTAATATGCTTATAATATCGACTTTTAAAATTGTATTATTAGTTCAGAAATTTTAATAAACATACAGCATGTATTTTTCAATTTGCATTATAATTTTAAGATTCACCGAAATTTAACCTAGTAGGTTGAGAATTTTTGTAATAATTTACTCTTTCTTTTTCATATTACTGTTTTTCAATACATTTTCTTATTTAGTAGCCATTTTAATCTACCTCAAAGTGTTTCGCCCACAAAGACATCTTTAATTATACATGACAAGCCTTCATAAATGTTTGCAAGCCACGTGACCGCCGAGCTTAGGCAACCCAACATTGGTACTGGTAACGAAAATTCCCTAAATCTTGGCGTCAACAATGAACAATGACAACCCGTTACGTCAACACTCGGGTCGTTGATTGATTGAATAGTATCTCGTGAAGAATTACACCAATCACAGCCGATAAAACAGAATGTTGCGTTTTAATGTGGTCTTAATCTTACTGTTTTAATAACGTTTAATTCTACCGAAATTTAATTGCCAACATGAAGGAAATAAAATTACTGTTCCAAACAAAATTACTGATCACGTGACTTGTAATTATTTATGAAGACCCTATATAACTATACCAAGGTACCATTTCGTACCACGAAAAATATGTGTTGGACACATTACTAATGAATTCATTCGCTACTAGATAGGTACTAAACTTTATTTGAATTTTATTTCATCATCAAATCAAATAGTACACACATTTTACTATAAATAAATAAATACTCAAAGTATACTTTAATTTATACTTCACGAGATATAATAACTATACCAAGATACCGTTTCGCACCACGACAAATGTCTGCATGAACTCACTACTAATTAATTTACCCAATACTAGATACAAAACTTCAATTGAATAGTTAATAGTTTCTTTGTTACATATTATTTAGGCAATTCCATTGTTATATCAAAAAAAAGTTAAAAAAGTAAAAATAAGTTTTGACATTGCTTTTAACGATAACTACACAACTATACCGAACCACATCCTTCAATTCATATGAAAGATGAGATGTAGGATTTGGTATATCACTGAATCTATTTACTTTTTCTTCTACAGAAAAAAATCCAATAATTCTAGTCTATCGGTTATCTTTATTTTATACAATATTATGATCTGTCACATAAAGTTAAAAAATGCAACAACTGAAGTATATATCAGAAATATGTAATTGCATAGATTGTTTGTAGAGCAAAAGTTATTAATTAGATTTGTAGATCTAAGTGTACAATATAT